AGAGAGAGAGAGAGAGAGAGAGAGAGAGAGAGAGAGAGAGAGAATAAAGAGAAGAGATAATTAGCCAGAAAACGAGAGAAACAAACAAAAAAATAGTGACACCCATTTCCACAAGTACCGATAGATCTGTTCACCGACTCTAAAATAACAGTTTCACGGTTATATCTGATCTACCTCGAGGCATGGGCGGACTGACACGAACAGGGGGTTGGGAGATAGTGCTCAGTGCCGCAGGGGGCGTGACCTGACCCTCTGCAAGGTGTGTGTTATCTCCTCTGCAGACTCCACGACCTCGTCTGACCTTGCTCGCCCACGCACCTGGGTCAATATACCTGCCGAACCTCTCCCTCCGGTTCCTCTTCCTATGCGAGACTTTCTGGCTGTGTTATTGTTTGTGTTTGTTGCCGCTTATCTATCGGGTTCAGGAATGCACTGGTCATACACAGAGGAATAACACACACACACACATACACGTACACACACACACACACACACACACACACACACACACACACACACACACACACACACATATATATATATATATATATATATATATATATATGTATATATATATATATATATATATATATATATATATATATATTTATATATATATACATATATACATATATATTAATATATATATATATATATATATATATATATATATATATATATATATATATATACATATATATATATATATATATATATATATATATATATATATATATATATATACATATACATACATATATATATATATATATATATATATATATATATATATATATATATATATATATATATATATATGCATATATGTATATGTATGTATGTATGTATGTATGTATGTATGTATGTATCTATCTGTGTGTACATAATATATACACACACACACACACGTACACACACAAACACACACACACACACACACACACACACACACACACACACACACACACACACACATATATATATATATATATATATATATATATATATGAATGCACATTTATACACACACTAACACATAAATACATACATGCACAAATGCGCCTAGAATGAACAGGAATCATTACATCTTCGATTTTCATTATTAGCTTTTGTATAACTGTCGCAATTTATAATGATGAAAAGAAATATCTTTTCCAGTCTTCTTGTTTTTCTTTTTTTTGCCACCGCTCTTTAGCATTACATCTGTTCCCACTAATGTTTTAATAATTATAACCGAAATCAAATGTTGTTATAAAGTTTCCACTTACTACCCATTATACTGTGGTTCATAAAATTTGGAAACACAATATTTAGGATTCTCTTGTTGCGACCGTTTTTCGGCCGCTGCATAAACATATATGTTTGTCAACTGGAATATAAAGCATATGAAATATCTTCTGTGCAGTGTGACAAATTACAATGAATTTATTTGTTGTGTCTATCTCGTAAAATGATTCTCTCTCTCTCTCTCTCTCTCTCTCTCTCTCTCTCTCTCTCTCTCTCTCTCTCTCTCTCTCTCTCTCTCTCTCTCTCTCTCTCTCTCTCTCTCTCTCTCTCTCTCTCTATCTCTCTCTCTCTCTCCCTCTCCTTCTTCCAACCTGTCTCTTTATCTATCAATCTTTACTTATATGTTGTGCATGAAAGAGAACAATTTGCCATTGAACACAGGAGCGTGCGTATGTAATATACATATATATTCCTAACCACATCAAATTCAAGTATTGTTTTCGTACAATACTGCAAGGTAAAGTCGCCGCTTTTGTTGAACTTAATGGCAAAGCAAAGGTTAAATGGAGAGTGTACACTATGACAAAGAAATATATGTATGTATGCACACACACACACACACACACACACACACACACACACACACACACACACACACACACACACATAAATACACACAGACACACACACACATACGCATACATTCATACACATACTCATAAACACACATAGATATATATTATATTTAAATGTAAATACCTAAATTCACAGACCGACATTTTAGTCACCCCCCCCCAAAAAAAAAAAAAAAAAATCCGACACAGAGAAAGAGATACAAAAACAAGCGGGGCAAGGGGCCCGTGCAGCCGCCGATCGAGGGATGAAAGACAACGAGGTCTATATGTCATAACTTCAGCGCGTAGTTGTTCTAGTGCAACTTTAATGCAGCGAGTGACACGGGACGCCAGTCTTGCAAAAGCTGTTCTTTGTTCAGTTTAGAGTTGACGCCTGCATGCTGTTAATGTCTGGGTGAATTAAACAATGTGTTTGATAATGGTTTCTTAAATAAACGTCTTACTGTTGTGGTTATTTTTTTTGTCTGTTTTATATTTACTTCTTCTTTCTCCTTATGAGTATTACGTACATTATAATAATATGCGATGAAATATTAAACGCTACAAACCTTTTTTTCCTTCTTTATTTTACCGAAACAGAAAGAAGAGAAAATAGAAGATAAGAAGAAGAACGAAAGAGGAAGGAAAAGAGCAAAGCAATCCACGGAACTAACGCCAGAATTTCGGCAAAAAAATCGTGTAACATAATGATATGCAAATGGTCAAGGAGGCTTTGGAATAACAACTAGAGGCACACAATTGCACACAAATGGACACAAATTACGATAAGTGAACATTTCGAGCACTTTAGTTGTTCAAATGGCGTGTATCCATACCTGGTGACATCCTGCAATAATCCGCCAGTCATTTAACCCCAAAACAATTCGTGTGAATGGAGATTCCCTTCTGACCTTTTTCAAATATGTTAAGATCTCTTCGAATTAAGCTCCAATGTGGTAATTATGATCCTTCCTGTTTGTCTACGAAGTGAAATAAACATTCTAAATACTCTGTTCTAATGAATCAAAAACGGTTTATGAAACTTGGAAAAAAGTATTCAGCCTCATATAACGGTATATATGAAGCGCCAATATCATTGACCATATTCGTCTGCAGTGGACACGTTTCATATTTTAACGACAGAAAGCCGAAAAATACTATTACTTTTGACAGACACGATAGATTATGATTACGTGGAAACGAATTAAACAGGAATGCTGTAAGGAAAATATTACGAATGCATTCTTCATTTTAAAACGATGTCCGAACATCGTTTTAAAAATTATTTTGCCGTTATTAAAATCAACAAACGTTGGTGGTTTATTTGAAATTAAAGGTAGTGTCATTTTAGTATATAGTTGTAATGTTATTAGGGACATAAAAGCTAGTATTATTGTTCGCATATTTTTGTGATTAATGCTAGTAACAACAGTAACGGAGGTTAATGTTCATGATAGCAGCAATAGTAGAATTAAATCAACGAACTGAAGTAACATTAGCAGTCGAAATAACAAAATTATTGACAAGAGTGGTAGGCAGCTGCAAAAAAAGGGGAAGAATAGAAATAAGAATATAATAGAATGCAGAACTAGGGCACAACAGAAGAAGGGGCTGCCTCGCGGATCCAGCTAGTTAAAAGTTTACTTGCGGAAATTTCGTCCAAACAACAAGTCAGCTGGGGACCGGACTTGCACGCAACCTCTGACCTTACACCTGTTAGCCGAGTGGGTTTCTCCATTCAACCATTTTCGGTCGCATTTCAGGTCAATCACGGGTGGAAGGGACAGGTTGTGTGAGACGTGGCGTGTATGATGGATGAGGTGTTGCAGCCTTGCATAGTTGCAAAAATAAGCAAGAGGAGTTTTTAAACTATGATTTGGTCTTCTATTACCGTTTTTCTTATTTGCGTTTATCTTCCTACTATGTTTAAACCGTGGGCTCTTATCTTGCGAGACTATTATCCTTATCAGAGCTGAAAGTAATGATTAGCACGCAACTTGAAATGATAATAAAGAAGACAGGTTTGCTAATGAAGTTGAGAGTAAGAAGAAACAAACACAAGAGTAACAGCTGCCTATATATGCAATAGCGAATGAAAATGACTTTAAACACTAATAACAAACCACAAAAAGACATCCCTCGATCCAACAACAACCAAACGACTTTATATGAAGCAGTACCCTGAGCGAGAGTGGAGGAAGTCGACGAAAAATACTTATATGTCGGGTCAGCCGAGCGTGAATCCCAACTTGCGAGGTTTTAATCTGAGCGTCAGCGCGGGATGTATTCGGGAGGCGCAGTTGAAGGCTCTGTCGTTCTGATTCCCGTGGTGGCGGCGCCCTTCTCATTACAGGGGCTCTGCGACGTCGACGTGTTTCTATGCTCGTTTCCTGCTCCATGACAGGTACTATTCCCTGGCTACTATTCCCTCATACGTTCTCGACCATCTTATTTACCCTTTCTCCCTACTCTCTTACCCTCTTTCGTTTCCCGCTTACTCTGTATCTTCCTTCTTATCCTCTTCCTCCTTTTTTTACCATCCCCCTATTTCTCTCACCCTGATTTTCTTCCTTCTTAACATCTTTCTCTTTCCTCTTACGTTCTTTGCCTTCCCTCTCATCCTTTCTACCCTCTCTATTTGGGAGCCAAGAACTCCAATTGGGCTCAGTTAATGTTACTCTAAGTATTATACATGAATCACTGTACTGTGCATACCTTTCTCTAATACATATATATTATAATTTGATTGTAAATGATATAACATATATAAATAATAAAATTTCCTCTTATCAAACCTCCCCACCCCTTTCTTATCCTTTTCCTTCCTTCTTACCCTTTCTCTTCCCCCTTGCTCATTTCGCCTTCTCCATCTTCTTAAAATACAAGTTTGAACGGAGGATTCCAACGAGGAAGTCTGATCCGGCGCGAACGAAGACGGCGAGAGAACCTACAGGATAACTAAGCCATCTGAATAACAATATCCTCGTCACGCGTTCGTCTTTATTGTGGTTTAGTTTCTTCTTCCATTAGATCATCCTCCCCTCAATACCTTATCCTGTCTCCTTTGCAGCACGATTCACAACCTCATCCTTAATTTCCTGAAAAAAAAACATCCCAGAAAACCTAAAAAAAGAGTGAGAGAAGGACGCTCGCACTTACCTGAAGCTCGGCTATCTGTCGTGTGGAGAACCTCTTGATGAAGGAGTCCTCTCGCTTGAGCGGTGGTTTGGCCCGGTTCATGGACGAGGAGAGGGCGCCCGAGAGCTGAACGGTGGTCCTGAGTTTCAGCCATCTTTGGTTTGATTTCAT